TATATATATATATATATAACATTTGTTACTTCTTATTGGTGCATTGGAAAGAGAAAATAATTTGTTACTTCTGGTGCAATATTTGGACACATACAAACGATTCTCCATACATTCACCAAAATAATTACGATCAACACATTCAAAGACTAAGTGGAATGTTGACTCAATTTTTTGTTTACCTATTTTTCTTCCCTTTATAGGGATATCGTTAATTAAACCAAACCATATGCGATAATCATCCCATTCGTTGCCATGTCAACTTGAGCACAAAAGTTACTAATGCAAGTACTTTACCAGGAATGAACTAAATTAAAAACAAAGGCCAGCAAAGCAAACTCCACTTTGAAACGCTCGAAAGCGAATGGTTGCAAAAGCTCTAGTACTCTGTTTGGTGAATTGTTTATTACACGATATATATCACAAAGAAAAGGTAACAAAATGATACATTGACAACTCGACCACATTAAAAAACAGCACATCCTCGTGATCCATGAGGATTCACCACACAACAAAAGCTTCTCACTCACTCAGAGTTGGTGAACCATTTTCTGTATCTGCTGCTGATTCTGCATCTTCTCAAGATTCACAAGGGAACATGATCTTGCCACCTCACCAGCTAAGGGAATCACAGGAAGGCTATCACAGTTGCATATCTCGATCATGAACCCATCAGGGTCGTGGAAAAATAGCTGATCTACTTGGATCCCACCTTCCTCCACCGTTGCTCGCACATAATCAATGTCCATTTCCTTCAGCTTCTTCTCCACTGCCCCCATGCTCTCACACTACAAATTACATATAAAATGAATAAATTAATTAATTTCTCATCAAAACAATTAACTTTCGTGACAGCTCATGCACCACACTAGAAGACACGTACAAGTAACTGCAAAACATTGTTTGCGTGTCTTTTCTCTGAACTTACGAAAGCCAGAAGGAAACAATTCAGAAAAGTCTAGACACTAGACAAATACAAAGTATTAAGAACTAAGAAGTGTGATTATGGCCAATAATATTGCACTGAAAACTTGAACCACTTTGTCAGCTCAATGATCTCATCAAAACAAACTTATCCACTAAAAGACGTGCACAAGTAACTATTTCTATATTTCTCTGTGTGTGTTTGGTTTTTTCTCAACAAGTGGCAGGAAAATAATTCAGAGGTGTAGACAAATACAAAGTAAGAGGTGGTCATCATTTTGTCTATCTCTGAACCTTGTTACATTTTCATATTTATATTATCCATCTCCATCTTTATTTCGGGATTGTTCGTTTTCGTTCTTATCATAAAGAAAACATTAATTAATCCATCAATGTATTGGTACTTAAATCTTTTCTTCCTAGAAAGATGACCAAAGTTTGATCACCATAACTGGATGCAAATAGTCTGACCTGAAAAGATATATGGTTATCCTTTGGATTAATTTCCTTCTTCTTTGGCAACTTTTCTGGGTTCTCTGCTTCTAGTAAATGAATTCCAATCCCGTAGCCAAATAGCCTGCAAAGACACCACATAGAAAATCAATAAAAAAAACCCCACCAAAATTTCCTCCCCGGGAAAAAAAAGAAGAAAACAAGAAACTTTTTTTGTATGTTTTTCTCATGTTTAATTATCTAAGGCGATTGGAAAAGAAAATATTAACGGTTTGTAATTAACAATGATATGAATTACCATGCCCCATCAAAATCAAAAGAGCCTGGCCTCCTGATCGGGGAGAATCCAAGAACGTTCTGATAGAAATCCATTGATTCTTCCAGTGATCTGCATATGAGGGAGATGTGGTTCACAGATTGAAGGCGCAAAGGGTTTCCCGCACTTTCCTTCATTGTCTACAAAAAAAAAGTTACCCTAAACTACGTACAGAAGAAAATGGAGTTGAAGAAGAGAAGAAGCGAAAAAATTGATCTAGCTACAAAGATTATCACGGAAGTAGCAAAACGGGTACTGCTCTATATAGAAACGAAGAACCCGCTATTGTGCGCCACGTGTCCCTTCATGCTATACGTGTCAGATACGTATTTTGTCGGTTACATCAACTACACGTCGCTGACTAGGATCTTACGAGTGAGTGTTATGTGGGGCCGTGATACGTGAGCTTGCATGTATCATATTTATCTCCCTGCACTAGACCGGTTGTTGTGATTGGCTTCTGACTCCAATTGTTTCTAAAGTTTCAAAATCAGTTATATTCTTTATATAATTCTTTTTTATTTTTTAATTCTTATATGAATGTCTAATTCTGGTTCAATTTTAAATTTATTTTTTTTTAAATTAAATAATATTGGTTCATAATTAATATATCATATAAAGTTAAATAAAAATATTGGCATGTCTATAAATTCACTATTTGATAATTACTTAATTTTTTATATTAAATATCAATCAATGTTACTTGATTTATTAAAAATGTTCTCGATAAACAATTACAATTTTTATAGTAATTATTTTAAAGAATTCTACAAATGATCATTTTTATTTAATTGATAATATAAAAATGTTTATCTGGACAATACATTGAAAATAAAATATCAAAGTTATACTATAATAACAAATAATAATAATTAAATATTTTTAAATATATAAATTATATAATTATGATATAAAGTTATTATTAATTATTAGTGATCTTTTATAATAGAAAGTTATCTTTAATTATTAATATTTTTTTTATAAAAACTATTAAAATTCAATTTATACTCAAAAATGAAAAATAAATTGAAATACTTAGACAAATAATAAGATTAGGTATCTAAATTTATAACTATAGTAAAGTGAATACCCTTCAGTTATGTTTTTGTTAGATCGAGTAGATACGTATCGCATGTTGTCATTATGTTCCGCAAGTTTGACTCGGTTAAAAAAAACTATTTTTTACTTTATTATTGAATTACTCTCTAATTTACTTACAACTTTAACCTCTAGCCATTAACTAAGCTACTCACCATTATATTTTTCAAACCCTGACATCAAATTAGTCATTTTTTTTACAAATAAAATTATTTTAGATGATATAGATTAAAACAATTATGTTAATTTGTTAAAATATAAAATATTAAATTATATTTTTAGTTATTTATTTATTTTTATAACTTAATTTGATTATATTATTTTTAAATAGTTTAACTTGATCATTTAGTTTTTAAATAAAAAACTTAATAATATTTTTTTTTTTTGTATAAATTAACACTAACAATGTTAATAAAATTGAATGAAAGAATAATATTAAATACTTTATAAAAATAATGAGACCAAATTAAATCTTAAAAATAAATAGAGAAACTAAATTAAATAATAATTGACATAACAATTTTTACCGATATGTAGTACTAAAATAAGTATTTTTATATATCTTATAATTATTTTTGCATAAAAATAAAACTATGAATAAATAAAATGATTTTTTTAATTTCCTATTTTTTTATTGATTTTATATTTTTATCTACTTGGGTTTTTATTAATTTATCTAAATAAAATAATAATATTTTGTTAAAAAATTATTATTTAATTTGATCTTTTTATTTTTTAAATGTTTAATTTGATTTTGTTATTTTTAAATAACATAAATTAATTATTTAATATTTATAAAATGTTTAATATTATTTTTCTCTGATTTCATTAACATTGTTAATATCAATTTAGATATAATGATAACTACAAATTAAATTCTAAAATAAATATAGAAAGTGAAAACATAATAACCAATATAAAAATTATTTAAAAATGTTCAATGATGCCTAGTTAGATTATGAACATTTTTAGAAAATTTTAATTAATTACTTAAACTAAAACAATTTATTATTAGCTCTTTATTCGTTTATAATTATTGTAATTAATTTTTTAATATTAATAAAATCGTTATAAAAAAAATTTTGCACTTTCAAACAATTATAACTTTTTTTTTCCTTCTCTTTTATTAGAATTATAATAATGATATCAGATCCAAACTTATAATTATATGTATATTACTTTAACTTTCATCACTAGGTCAACCATAAACCAAATTTTAGAGAATAAATTACAAAAGTAATATAAAAAAAATATAAATTAATATATATATATATATATATTAAAAAATTGTAACTAATTATAAAAATTAATATCTATATATTAAATATGAACAATTATTATATGCGAAAACGTTTTTATGAGTTATTCTAAGAATGTTTTTATGAATTTTTATAACTTTTGATTTAATTTAATTTTTATTTATCATATTTATTTATAAATTAATTATATTTTAGT